CACACACAAATCTTTTTTACACATACAAATCTTTTTTACAAGTACAAAATATTTATGACCACATTTTGAGCCCATAGGCCATATTCACAGAGTCACAGTACCAAAACCTATAACTATATACCTTTTCTAGATTTTAAAATGCCCTTAAAAATGAAATAAATAAATAAATAAAAAGTAAATATCCAGCTCTTAGTCCAAGAGCACCTTTGGGATGTTTAGGACATTCAATCGACTAGCAGAGGAATTACCTTTCATTTGTACTGTTATTCACACAACCATTACCGTTCTGTCTCTGAGATACCCCGAGCAACATTGATAGATACCCTTTTAGCCAAAGATGCTAGTCTCAAAAGCACTGTGTCAAGGATCTGCAATACACTAGCTCCCAAGTAGGCTTTGAATACAGTTCTAGAACAAGAAACAAGAAACTGTATCTCCACTTTTAAGATTAGGCTTGAAACTTTCCTTTTTTGCTAAAGCTTGTTGTTAGTGCTGGATCAGGAAACCCTGAATCCTCCCCAGGGCTCTAGAATAACTTTTTGACATGGGCGCACCGGTACGCCTAACTTTAAAAATGTAGGCGTACCAGCACAAAAGTTAGGCGCACTCAAATTTTTCAACCGCATCGCTTAACACCGCAGTTTTACTTGTGCACTTTCTTTGGGGGGGAAGTCCATACAGACAATATTCATTTCTAAATTATTAACTAATAAACTTGTGTTTAAAGTGCTTTGTCAATATTGTAGAAAATGTTAAACTTAATCATCTCGGCCTCCTCTGACGACCTGTTTGCTGCTGTCTGTTGCTGAAAGGCAGTGGGGAGAGGGGACACTTGGGCAGTGCATTTATTGCAGCATATAATGTGTTTTCTGGATACACTGTGCTTTTTCAGCATTCAAAGATTGATGGCACCGTGTCAGAGCACTGGCTATGAATTTCAGACAGATCAGGCCTTAACTTAACAAAAAAGTTATCAATAGTTCTTTTCATCTTTTCTTATTACCCACAGCTACATCCACTTCTCTCAGGCCTAGGCTGCTCACTAGGGCTGGGTATCATCACTGATTTCTATAATCCATTCAATTCCGGTTCTCAAAGTCCTGATTTGATTCAATTTAGCCTCAGACAGTCAGAAATATTATAATTCTGATCATTTATCAGTACTGATACACATGAGACTTCATCAGAATTGTGAACATCACAGCAGATGCCTTTGTGTGAAAGTAACTGAGAATAAAACACAGAAAAACATGAAGGAGATTTTCCTGGTCTGGCTTTTTATAGCAGATAACCTTAAAAATATTCTGCAATATTCTGCAATTTTGCATAATTTTAAGAAGTTTAAATTTCTTCAGTATTGAACAGCAGAAATTAGGCTTTCTTGTCCGAGGTCATTTAAGTGAAAAAAGAAAAGACAGCGCTGTAAACAACGGTAGACTGGTGGGTAATAAGCGAATGAATAATGCAGAAAACAGATTTGAGACGGGAAACTGTTCCTGAAGTACAGAGAGAGAGAGAGCTGTGCAGGAAGTGTGATTTTTATCGTGGTGGAAGCAAAACAGCAAAAGTCAGAGGGAATTCATGACGACATTGATCAAATGTGAAGCGCAGTTTGCTGCTTCTTTTGCTGCTGGCTCGGCGAATTTTGGTTGGAGAGAGACAAAACCTGCAGCTCAGAATCAGCGCAAAAAAGACGTAAACACAGAGCGGACCCGACGCATCAGAATCGCTAAGCTCCGACAGCGTGTCTGTGTACGGGCCGTCGGGTGAGAAAGCCGAGAAAGACAAAGCTGATTCTGTGTCCGCTCTGTGTTTACGTCTTTGTGTGGAATCCGTTAATGAATTGATATCGCTTTATTCAAGCTACTCACCTCTCTCTTCCACCTGCACTTTCAACTGGACCACGGCCAATCAGAGAGGTCCCGCCCCTGACTATCTCTGATTGGTTTAGTCCACGATAGGGGCATAATGTGTGTCTGTTGTTGACCACACAGAGAGTTGCAGAGATTTTTTTTTTGTTACCCGAATATTTATTTTTAGTCGCACCACTGAAAAATTTGGTTGCATTTGCGACCAAATTGGTTGCACTCTACAGCCCTGCTCCCTTAGTTATGCTGCAATAGGTGTAGGTTGCTGGGGGATTCCGATGATGCATCCTATGAGTATTTCTGCCTCAGTTACATTTATTACCCACTATGTGTTAACAGACCTCTCTACACTGAATCACACTTGTTATCAATCTCTGGCTCTTGTCCACAGCATGTCTTTTATCCTGTCTTCCTTCTCTCTCCCCAACCAGTTGCAGCAGATGGCCGCTCCTCCCTGAGCCTGGTTCTGCCGGAGGTTTCTTCCTGTTAAAAGGGAGTTTTTCCTTCCCACTGTCGCCAAAGTTTTTTTTACAGGGTTTTTCCCTGTATGTGTTATTGTAGGGTCTACCTTACAATATAAAGTGCCTTGAGGCGAATTGAATTGAATTGAATCCACCTTACCAAACCAAAACGTTTACCCCAGCATTTAGCCCACTCAAGTCCAGTGCAAATGTATGTTTTGGACTTGTTTTCAGTTTAAATGTATTATTTTGGTATCAAACATGCATAACATAGACCTAATAAGAGTTCAAAACCTCTTCACCTTAAGGTAAAGAAGATCAAATTCACTTATATATGTGTAACTAGTAAACAATACTCTCTGCGAAATCTGCTGCTATCACAATTCCAACTTAATCCAAATAATCATTTCCCCTTTATCAGATCTGTGAGGTTTTTGGCTTATTATTTATCATGTTACATGTTTATGATATCTGTAATAGTTACTTGTTAATTCTTAACAGTAATGGTTTGTTTTAAATGTTTTTTCTGTTAGAGTTCATCTTCTCAACAATTTATTATCTTGTATTCAACTGCTAGGATACTTCAGAGAAAGTCCTGAGCAGTTTGACATTTATTTCAAGGTAAATTTATGAGGCAGTTCCCTATAAAGACAAAAAAACAAACAAATAACCAAAAATAAAACCCATCTAGTAGCATCACACTACAGAGCACAAGTTTGATTCCACGATTAAGCCCTATTTCATCTCTGTTGTACTCACGCATACGCTTCTTCCTTGTGTGTCCCCGCAGGCGGAACAGGAGAGAAGGATCGGGCACCCATCAGCCATGAATCCTTCCTGCTCATGGCAAACTCCCAGAGCGATATGGACGACTGGGTCAAGGCCATACGGCGGGTCATCTGGGCACCATTTGGAGGAGGTAAAGCCAAACCTTTGAACTGAAACACAAAAAAACATATTAGGCCACCAATCAGTAGCAACTAAAAATCCATATTTCTCTAAGGAAAATATACAAACATAAAAGCCAAGCTAACACTGCTTTTGTTCATCATCTTTGTGTAAAAGAAAGCAAGATATATTGTTCATATTTCTTTGCCAGCAATAATTCAAGGCGTGCCTTCCAGTGCAGGAGATTTCCTCTCTGCCTTATAAGCTCAACACATCGCCCAAAATATTTGAAACTTGCTCTTTCTGCTAGAATAGAAAAGACTGCAGTCCACATCTCTGCTCTGTCTTTAAT